GTCAGGCGTGTGTTTTGCTGTGGCTGTTTTCCCCTTTGAGAGTGTGAAGGTCTGTAGCATCCTGGGTACCACCAACTCCCACCACACCCGCATATACATTAGGTGGACCAAGACTTGTAGGCGCACCTGCAACGTGTGTTTGTCCGCATCTAACTGACGGGAATCAAATATGTGGCTTTTCCTGCTATTTCACACACTGGAGTGACCAAGAAATGGAGAGCACAGGAATAGTCAATACTTTTTCTCCAAAGTACACATTTTCTAAACCAAACATCAATTTCATCAACACCAGATTAAGAAGTAATAAAGATGCAAATTCCTCATGTAAAAAGCCTTACAAAGTGTTTGACGTCTAATGACATGAAAACGTGCATATGTTTGTAGAAAAGTGTATAAACATTTAGTCAAAATAGATGCTATATGCCAATTGGGAGAATATTTGCACATTCAAGATCCTGACTGTCCCAGAGAATCTGGAACACCCAGGCGCTATATTCACGTCAAGCCAGACTCCAGAACCACAAACTTCAGAAAGCAGCCCTTCCAGGACCTAACTGGGCCAGCTTCACAAACCTTGCTGGGCAGCTCTCTGGGAAGAGTATAGTTTTAAAAAAAAAAAATTCAAACTGCTAAGTGAGTGGAAAGTGGGATTCCAATGTAAGGCAGAAGGCACCAGCCTACCCTGGTAATTCTAAAGAAAACTGTGTCCTTCCCATTCAAGCAGGAACACAAAGGAAATTGAGTCATCAGCTTCTTGCTGTGCAAACCCCCAGATTTTCTCTTTGAGGCAGAAAACATCCCCTTTGAATACTGCGGCTGTGGCTGGCAGCATCTGCCACCTGCTCCACTTCAGTCTTTCACAAGAAGCGCTTCCTGTTCGGGCTCTGGGTGGAGTCGGCTACCAAGGAGGTGCTGGGGAAATCCAATTGCAGCCTGTATCTTGTTCCCAGCCCCGGCCCCAGCCAGGAGGGCCTGTGGGGAGGCCCAGCTTACCTCCCACCACTTCCTCTCCATCAGGGACCCCAGTCTGGAAGCCTCTGACACCACAGGCTGATCTGAAACCTCACTTGGTTGACCACGTGTCACCTAGAGCTGCACACTGGGATCTGGTTCCAGACCCTTGACTTTTGTAGAGAACCATGCCAGGCCCCTGCCTGGGTCCTCAAGACTTTCCCCTACTGGGGGCACACACATCCTGCAAAGGAACATGTGACAAGGTGGCTTTCTGAGTCAACGCATCTAAAACACTTGCAGGGGTCAGCAAGAGAGCTTCCGGAGGGCCTCCTTCCTAATTTTCAGGCGGAGAGCACTGCCCCAACTTGTTTCTTAGACAAGAAACCGCCTCTCCCTTTTCTCCATGCCTGCAAATGAGAGCATGTCTAGAAGGGCAGTTGGGCTCTGATATGGGAAGGGACTTATTTTAGTAACAAATAATTTGGTTGACATCTCTGACAGCTGCAGCCAAGCCTGGGGAGAGACAGGCCAGAGCAGGGCAGGGTGGCCAAGAGTCTACAGCCTGCCAAGTGTGGAGAGACAAGCCACTCGCACGAGACTTCACCTATACCAACCACAAGGAACAGGGAGGGTGGGAGACCCACATGCAATTTCCAAAGTCCTCCAGAGACCATGTAATAAATTGAAAGCAAAGGCATTGGATTCTAGCATGGAAGGGTCTTAGACAAAGGGGAAATCCCAACTCTGCTACTAGGTCCTCAGTCTCCTGGGGCTGTTGTCAGACTCATATAAGATGACCTATGCTAACCTGCTGGCTTCATGCCTAGCAGACAGTTGGTGCTCAGTGAGTGCTACTTCCTGGGGACTTAGGACCCTGCTTTCCACAGTAGCAGAGTGTCAGGCTTTTAAAATGTGGGTGCTCCTAACCATCCAGTGATGTTCCAGGAGATTTCAGAAGCCTCCAGGTAATACAAAGAATGTTTCCCAAGCACCAACTTTGCTTGATGGTAAGAAATACATATTATTATTTTTATATTAAACTCACACTGAGTAAATATGTTGTGGAATGAAATATAAAATCATAATGAGTGAGTAGACTTATTTAACAGGTGGAGCAAATGCTGTTATTCCAGTAGACACGCCCTCCTCCCTACCCACTGCAGGGGTCAGGGTGGGGCCCCCTGCAGTCCTCTATGATAGGAGTATATCAAAGACCAAGTGTATGAAAAGCGGCCTTGCCTGGCACCCTAACCGGTCTCAGAGAGGGGAAGTCACCAGTCCTTCTTTATCAGGGTGTGTTTCCTTCTTGGGAAAAAGAAGGGGGTTTTCTAAAGGATCCTTAGAATCCTGGTCTCTGAGTCTGTGACAGTGAGTCAGGAAATACTTCCTGAATGAATGGAAGGAGATCTGTCATAAATTAAGAATTTCATGCTGTTTAGCATCCCCTCCCGAGTCGGGCAATTGGGAAGAAAATAGAACTTTTTTTCCTACTGGCTGCCAGCCTCCAACACAGGGACCTGTCACCATGCCTTTGCAGGAAATAGATGTCCAGTATGTGGACGAGGAATAACTGAATTCCTTGATGCTAACCTCAGCAAGGATGGGCTTTGCTTCCTGGCTTCTTTACAAGGGAGAATAAGCCAAAGCTCTCTCTGCCAAGAGACAGGTCTCTAACGCTCAGCGGGACCTTTATGGTGTGGGCCACCCTCAGACCCCAGGGCTGTCAGATGGTTCCCTCTTTCTCAACACTAGGGGTGCAATTCCCTCATAGTGGCTTCTCACCCTCAGAGAGAAGGAGATGTCTGTGCAGGGAGGACTCATCTTCCTCCCCTCTACCTAGGGCCGCTTTCTTTCTCCTGTACAGGACACCCAATTCAAGGTACCTGTTCTCTAACTCAGAGGTTCTGGGTCCAATGTCACTAATCCCAATTGGCCATTTCTCTACTTTTTGCTTTCTGATACAAAGATTGGACCACACTTCGCTCCCCACAGCCTTGCTCCTTTCCAAGTTTCCTCATGATTGTTCAGAGTCCACTGCTCCCAGAATGGGGTGGCGACAGTCCCTGTCCTTCCCATCATCTTTCTTCTCCTATCATACCTGCGCCCCTGCTTGCCCAGCCCCAAACAAAAGTCATGTCTCCTTTCCAAGTCTCGGTTCTTTCCAAACAACTTTTCAATCACATAAACACTGGCACTTCGAAACGCTTCCTCCAAATGGTGCTGCCCAAAGGCACCAGGGAAACTCAGGGTCAGAGTGAGGCAGGGATGAGCCTGCTGGTCCCTGAGGGAACCTCAGGGTTAGGACATCACCAAATATTTGAGGGTGGAGCCCTTTAGAAGAATCAGGGAAACAGGTTGGAAAGAGTCAGGAGTCAGAATCTTCAGAGACAAAGGAGAGGACTGGTAGGTAACAGACACATAAACTTCCCCAGAGGCTGCACGGAAACCACCACAATGGTCACCCTTTGTTAAAGGACAGGCTCAGGGCTCTCCCTGCCTGTCAAATCACCCTCTTCCCTCAAACCCTGAATGTTTATGCCTTTCAAGGGCCTGGTGGAACTCCAGTTCCCTCTAGGAGCCTCTGTGAGGCCCCTGGTCCACCAACACCTCACCTTCCCCAGAACTCCTTCCCAGGTTTGTCCAACCCATACAGATTAACCTATCCTGAGTTTGTCTTTGGTCTCAGTGGACCTAGGTTCACATCCCGCACCACTCCTGAGTGTACAAATGCTGGCAGGTCACTTAACCTCTCCAAGCCTCCTGTTAAAACAGACCTAAAAACAGGACACTTCTCACTGGGCTATTCTGAGAGTAAAATAAGGTCGCACACATAAAGGATTTAACACAGAGCTTGGCACCGTGAAAGTGTGGGGTAAATGGCAGCTCGTGCTGTTGTTACTGTGATTATTATTCCTTCTGCTTCAGGAACCTACAGCCTAGATGCCCAAATCCCCACCCAGCTTCAGTCTAAAGCGTCCGTGCGCAACTGTGGGTTTTGCGTTCTTGGTACGCCAGAAAACTTGCTGAGTAGAATTAACCATAGGCTAAGCTGTCTTAATGACCCAGCTGGCACTTGTTAAAAGAAAAATTAATTTTACTAGCGATAAGCAAATCAGCCATGTAATTATCGGGTAGATACAGAGACAAAGAAAGGGAAGGTTGGAGCTGAGCCGGGCTGGAATACCTCACAGGAGGCCCCTCCCCGCCACAGCCTTGAGAAGGCGCCCACCCCTGTTGGGGTGTGATACCGATATCCGAGCCCCAGCTCCAGAGTCCCCGATATTACCCTGGGATCCAGATTCCCCTGTGGGCTCTGAGGCTGCCAGGCAGGGAACACGAGCCACCTTGCCGTTTGGATTTCCCCAAACTGATTGGCAGAAACAGGAGGCTGCGAGGACTGAGCGGCTGGCCCAGTCTTGCCCTCCTGTTGCTACTCCCTGCCCCAGGCTGGGACTCTGTGGAGACCCAGGGCCTCAGTACAGAGCTGGTACAAGTTTCCACAGGCTGAAGTGGGCAGCGACGGGCAGGAGCAGACTGCGAGCTTTGGAACCCAGGCTCCAAGGGGCGCCGCAGGGATCCAGGACCACCCGTGTTCACACATGGTTCACTGTGACGCTCCTACCCCTATCCCAGCCCCGGCCCCCACCCCGGTCCCTGCCGGGTCTAGCTCTGCCCTACTCGACCACAGCCCCTTGAGCACCCGAGCCTGTTAGTCCAGATACTGCGCCCTGAGGAGTACAGTTACTTTCTGCCATGTGCTCGGGCTCGGCCGCGTCTCCCCAAACTGCGCGCCGGCAGCCTGCCCAGCAAACTTGCTCCTTTCTCTTTTCCTTTCCACACAACGGTGTATCCCACCGACAAACGCTCCAACAGCTTAGCGCAAAGTCGCTGACTGCTTTCCCCCACGCCACACACGTCGCTCGTAGCCCACTTGACTCCAATCCCCCCGGGTCCCAAGGCCGGCTCAGCCCACGGGGCTGCCGCGGGACCCGGGCTGGGCACCCCTGGCACCGCCTCCCGCTGCTCCGGCTGCGGCGGGCACTCACCGATCTGCGCCAGGCTCAGCTGCACGAGGCAGAGTCCCCAAACTGCGCGCCACCAAAGCGTGTCCATGGCGTCGGGGCGAACCGAGAGAGCGAGTGCAGCAGGAGGGTCCTGGGGCGCGGGACAGGGGGCGGCGGACCGAACCTGTAGGAGGCTGGGGTCCGCTGGGCAATGAGGCCGCCTTGGAAGTTGGCCGCAGTTTTTATTCGACGGAGGGAGGGAGCCAGCGAAGGACACACCCAATCGAGAGGGCTGTGACTAAGCAGCCCAGCCGGCAGAGGTTTAAAGACGTACCAGCCCTCCTTCTCGCTGCCCCTCCGCCCCCTCCGGCTTTCTCACCGCGACCGTGAACTGGGCAGCCGGGGAGGGCCAAGGGGACCCTGCCCTTCAGCGCCCACTGGTTCGCGCGCCCCCGGCTGTACCGGCCGCTGGAGGGGCGTCCTCAGCGCAGAGGATGACAGCGTCCTAAAACCTCGCCCAGTTGAACTCAGCCTCCGGCCTCTCCCTTCCCGCTAAATGAATCTTCGAACCCCTCCGGAGAACGATTCTCTGGGTTTCCCAGGCAGGGGGTGGGAGGGAGGAGTATCCTGGGAGAGGAGCTGGAAAGGGGAGAGGTCCTGCTCTGGTTGGTGGTGTTTTCCTGCTGACGGTGAGGAGTTAGGGCTGGAGGGCTTGTAATTCTCCCCAAGGGAGGAAAGGATAATCCATTCCTTTTCCCCTCAAAGAGAAGCAAGTCCACGTGGCTTGGGTGGATTCTTGCTTCTTGTCAAGACTGCTAAGGGAAAGCTAGCCGTGGCCAGTCACGCGGCTGGTATTGGGCTCCACCAACCCACGTGTTCTTCCTACGGTCGGAGCTGGCACCTCTACCCATCCACCCACGTACATGCTCTTGGGTTCTCCCAAATATCCTCCACCTTCCAGAGCTCTCCATCCATCTACCTCCAGACCACCCTTATCCACTCAGTTCAGCCATCTTCTGTTCATTCATTGATCCAGGTTCACATCCTTTCCTCTGTCAACCAATCCAACCAGCAACTCTTTCACTCAGCCTCCTATAATACAATTTATCCATCATTCCATACATGCTTCTCCATATTGTTTATAAAGCCACTTCCACCACGCTCTTTTACACTCACCCACCCGCATAACTGTTCACTGATGAATCCCTTCACTCCCACCCGCCCATCATCACCATGCCCATCATTTAATCCATCCTCTCATTCACATATTCATTCTTGCTGCAGTTTATACTCCTTTCCGTGTGAACAGTAATCCATTTTCTTCTGTCTATTCTACACTGTACATCTCAAAGATGGTAAAGGATTGTAATATTTTTCAGGGGAGGCATTTTGAGTTTGAAAAAAATCATACTTTGAATCATAACTACTTATCTCCCTGGAATACACGATGGTTTAATATGTGAAAAATCAAAAGCAGTATTTATTTTTAACATGAACTACTGAAAATAAGTCTGCATGGACTCCTTGCCAGAATGGTGAGTTACCAGTGGCCATAGCACAGCCCTGAAGGAACCATGCCAGAACTCCGGGAGGAATGTAGATTGTGTTATTTATTGAAAGAAATTGGAAAATTGAGAGAAATGCACCAAGACATCCACCCACTCATTCATTCATCAGACATGTAGGGAGTACCCGCAGGAATTAGGATAAATGAGGAACATGTAACGAGTACCCACAGGAATCAGGATAAATGAGGAACATGTAACGAGTACCCGCAGGAATCAGGATAAATGAGGGACTTCACACCCTGGAAGAGAAGCAGACTCACAGCAGGCTATGACTACACACTATGAAATACACTGCATGCAAAGTACGTGTATTCAGACCATCATCAGACTTGGAGAAGGGAGTCCCCCTTTTTCCTGGAAAACCACCGGGGAAGCTTCACAGGGGAAGTGGTATTTCATCCAGGTAGGAGACTGCAGGGACCAAGCCACCCCCAGGGAGTACTCTGTAGAGATGAATAGCAGGGATGCAGGAGCCAGAAGATGTGGGTTCAAACCCAGTCTCATGCTATATGCTTTCTCAAGCATAAAATGGGCTTAGTAATAGACTCTTCATAGAATTAGTGAGGATCACACCCCTCAAAAGTCCTATACATATTAAGCACTAGATATATGCGCACACATGCATACAGTATACACTATAACTATACAGAAGTGTTTGCTATTATTACCAAAAGCAAAATTGTATCATAGCATAGAAAATTGAAAGAACATGGCGTATTCAAGGAATGGAGAGCAATTTGGACTGACCTGAGCACTAGATTAGATGAAGAGGCGAGGAGGGAAGCAAGAAGACAGGAGGCTATGTCAGGGAACTTGACCTTGACCCTGTAGGAAATAAATTATTATTTAATTTAATTATTATTAAATAATTATTTGAAATACATTGTTTAATTATTAAATAATTATTCAAATTAAATTATTACTATGTTAAAATACACATAATATAAAATGCACCATCTTACCAATTTTTTTTCTTTTTTTTAGAGATAGTCTCACTTCATTGCCCTCAGTAGAGTGCTGTGGCGTCACAGCTCACAGCAACCTCCAACTCCTAGGCTTAGGCGATTCTCCTGCCTCAGCCTCTCGAGTAGCTGGGACTACAGGCGCCCACCACAACACCCGGCTATTTTTGCAGTTTGGCCGGGGCTGGCTTTGAACCCACCACCCTCTGTATATGGGGCTGGCGCCCTACTCACTGAGCCACAGGTGCTGCTCTATCTTGCCCATTTTAAAAGGCATAATTCAGGGGCCTTTAGTACTCTCAGAGTATTGTGCAACCACCACCATTGTCTGGCCCAAGGTAGGCTTTCACCTGGGGAGATCCTGTTTGACTGCTCCTCTTGCATTTTTCAGGCAGAGTGTTTGGGACTAAAAGATCACCTTCTGGACCTACTCCCCAGCCACTCAGCAGCTGGCATCCCACGATTCAGACACCTGGGATTGCCTGTCTGAAATAAACGTAGTTCCTCTGGCCCCCCACTTGAGGAGCAGGCACTTGGAAAATGCTGCCAGGGGCAGGGAAGTGTGGCCCTGCTGCTCTCTGCTGTCGGTGGTCAAGGGGACACTTTGCTGAACCAGTTGGGGACAAACCAGCTCCTAGGTAAAGTTTCAGGCTGTAACCCTGGGAGAAACCAGCCCTGCTGGGTTTTGTGGGCAAGAAGGCTGGGTGAGGAGTGGCCTTGAACACCTCGTGTGACCTCTAGGGATTTCAGCTTTCTTCTCTTGGAGGAGTCAAGTGATGTTAAGTGAATAGTCTCTAGGAATGATGTTTTTGTTTTCCTGTGCTTCAAGGAATCTGGAGGTTTCCTGGTGACCCCTTACAAGCAGACAGAGCAGTCAGCGCAAAGGCTGAAGAGTAGGTTGCCCTTTCCCTCCCCAGCCCCATCCCAACCACAGAAGTTCCACTTGCATCAGTTTTATATACAGAGACTTCCTTTTGACATTTTGACAAAGAATTTTACTCTTAAAAAAATATATAAAAACCACCAGATTAGGTCATCTCCAACCTTGTTCTCTTCTCCGTTAATGTAGTAAGCAATTCTCACAACGAAAGAAAAAGGGGCATGAAAGTGTTTTGCAAGCTATATAGGGGCATGCAAATTCTAGGGGTTGTAAGTAGGAATATCTTCCCGGAGGGGATGTCTTCTCTGCCTGCTTCCCCATAGTTTAGTGAGGGACTGAGATCCTTTGCCCCCATACCTCAAATGACTCATTTCAAATAACTGACCTGGTGACCTACTGAGTCAGAGCCAGCCTTTGGGAATTCCTGGATCACCTCTCTGAGCTGTCCTCTCATCCCCTTTCCACTCCAAACACAACCCACCCACTCTCCTTTCCCGTGCTCTCCTTTGGGCTTCCATAAAAGTTAAAATCTTTAAAGGGATTAATTTTAGAGCTTATTATCTGTTGTGTGTTGCACTAACTACCTTTCTAAGCCAAACCATGGGATATGGGAAACTAGAAAAGAGCTTGAATTGATCTGGGTTGACGTGAGATCACACTCTTTGGAAAGAATCTAGAATGCAATCAGCAACCTTGGACTGAGAAAGCCCATGTCTGAGCACTGGCTCTTCCCCTTATCAGCCGGTGACTTAACCTCTGGGAGTTTCGTTTATCCCAACCACAAAACAGAGGAGGTAATTAAAACCTTTCCTAGAGTTTGTTATGAGGAGTCAGTGAGAGAAAGGTATCAAGACCTTTTTTACTGGGGGTCCTGCCTGATGGTGGTGCTGAATGATCCACCAACCTCTAAGCTACTTGAGAACAGAAACACGTCTGGCTTGGGTACCAGCAAATACTCAGGTCTCAATGCCTGACATATGCCAGTCTTTGGCATGCATACCATGCTCCATAAATAAGCATTCCATCAATGCATGGAGGACAGTTATTATTTCCCCCTCCCATTACAGCATTTAGGAACCATGTGGGCTAATAGGTGGAAGTACATAGACAATTTGACAATTTCTAAATATTAATAGATCCAAGCTGGGGTCATTGCTTTAGGCAGACTGCAGTGGAGCCAGAGCATTGCTCACGCTGGCAGATTGAAGGTTTTTTCCCTGAAATATTGGGGCCTGATGGTTTCTGACCAGTAGTAATAAATCTAATTCCTCTTAAACAAAGAAAAGTTAAATCTAAACCAAATGTGAGCAGAAGTGTGAACGGTTGGAAGATCTGGGGCTGAATCATGGAATTCCAGGATTATAAACATAGCGAGTCATGGAGTCTTTTAGAGGGACAATAATCAATTTTTTTCACGGTGTTGTTTCCCAGAAGAGAAGCAATCTAGTAAAGAAAAAGTGTCATTCTAGTTCAACTTTAACTTGAAAAAAAATCCATTCTGAGTTCATATTCAGTGTGTGAATTCAACACATGTAAATGAAGAGTGGTGAAAAAATGCTCTGATGTCATGGTTATTAGTGAAGTCTAAATAAACCACTGACGGGGAATGAATCTTTGTGAAAAAGTGAATGACCTCAAATGACTAGTTGCAAGTTAACCAAGCGCAACTATGAAGCTGAGTCTTTGGGAGTTTTAAGGCCTTCAACTCATGGAAAATAAAGTAGCTGGTGTGGTTCCTGCCCCCTGGAAATGCCAAAAGGACACATACGAGATCTGACAATTA